CCCCAAAACCCCAAAACCCCAAAACCCCAAAACCCCTTTATTTCAATGTGAAGTTGAAAGCAGGAGAATTAAGTAAGGGATTTAGGAGTCAAGAAATGGGACCTCGAACTCGACGAATAGCTTGTTCTTCTTAAGCATCGCGCTGGATAATTTTAGACCCTTGATATCCAAGATTGACTTTAGACCCTCTAACTTTTGTCTATCCTTTGTGCTGACACTTCTCTTACTTTTCTGGGATCGAGGCGACTGAGGGTCTTTCTTTTGCTTGGATTTTGAATGTTTCTTTTTGGATTTAGTCCGAGTACTCTTCTTGCTCTTCACTGAAGATCAGTCTTCAAGCTTGACTAACCTCTCTGTTGGGGGCTTTTCAGTGTAAGTAGTCATTTGAGAATCACAGAGGTCAATGAACTTCTCTTCATACTTCAAATTTCTTTTCTTCTTCCTTTTACTGATTGTAGCTGGTTGAGAAGCACAGTTAATATCAGTTGTCTCCTGCTTTATTTTGACATTATTATCCTCGACAGATTCACACAGTGTTAAAATATCTTCACCAGAATGGGGTTCATTTACAAGTTTGGCATAAATAATCTTAGCCACATCCATAGTATCATTAGGACTGATCGATCTTTCTATCTCTCTTCTACCAAACGTCCTCTCTTGCTGAAAGACTTTAGGGAGTGAATTTTTGGACTTACTATTAGTTTGAAGCTTTGGTATCTCTCTTACTACAATTTTTGAGAAGCATTGCTTCAAGAAGTAAGGATTTCTATTCATAAAAAGTGAATTTGCACTAGCAGTAGTCCCATTATCAGCATAATACTTCAAGAGTAAGCACTCTTCTTCAGTTGAAAGAGGTGAATTATCGTTGGCTGGGTCAAGCTTGTCTCTATACCTTGCCCAAATACTGCTCTTATTCCTGTTAAGTTTGTGACATAGAGGATCAATGTTATCTTTCCCATTCTTAACTATGTAATCCTTTACAATTTGTTCCTCCTCAGGTGTCCATTTCTTGCACTTCGAGGTCTTGGAAGAAGACTTCTTCTTAGATTTTCTTACTCTAGGTTCTTGTACAAACTCCTTAGTTTCTTCAGTATCAGTATTGCCACCACAAAGCTGTTTACCAAGGGTAATCTGACGGAGTTTCTTACGAGCATAACTAGCTTCGAACAGATCTTCCTGACTTGACTTGTTAAGTTTCTCCCACATCCCTGCATCATCTTGGTTATTGGTCATTTTAAAACGCTTCACAGATTACTCACAACTTCTATCAGCAAATTTATAAAACTTTCTTCAAGAGATATGACAATTTTAACGGATGAGATTTCACAGATTTTAAGGGACCGCCAGAGGTCTGCACAAATCCCAAAAGTCTAAAACCTCAGTTTCTCTTCATAAAATTTTCAGTGAAAATTTTGAACCTCGACTGAAATTTCTGAACAGAACCGGTCTCGAAGAGATTTTGGGACTTTGAGGGTCAGAACAGCGAGAAGTGCTGTTTTAGGTGTGGTTAGGGGTTGGAAATGCAGAGATGAGGGGTAGAGAGATACCATTGAAGCTGTAAAGGTTTTTGGTACAAAGAAGGGAGGGTGTATGTGGGCTAAATTGGGTTTAGGGCATTTTTCAGCGTTTTTGGGCATTTTTGGGCTTTTGGAATGGCTGAATTAGTATGTTTTCAATTGAGTTTAGTCCCAAATAAATGGCCAGCTGCGCCTATATAACCATTATACAAAAATTATGTTCTGTTTTCAATGTCAACCAAAAAGCGTGACCAAAAGGCCCAAATAAAGTCACCTTCAAAGGTGAAATTTTCTACTAAATTTCCAACACTTCTGTCTGCTCATGGCGATCGCTTGGCACACTTTATAAAGTGTGCCAAGAGGTTGGCAAGGAACTGCCCTGAAGCGGCAGCAATTCAGAAGATCACCTTCGCCTTGATGCTAGGCGTAGAAGAGATTCTCCAGCAAGGCCCAGTGGGACTGGGCCTTGGCGGCTGGGACTTCTCTAAGCTAGACTCTAGTGAAGACTCTTATGAACGCTGATATAGTATCGCAGAGGAGATCTACAAGACGCTTAAATCAAAGTGGGGAGCTAACAGAACTGAGTTATTCAAGCACTATAAAGAAATATGGGTGTTTCTAAATCGAAGTGATTCCAAATGGCTCAGAGAGAAGATCCTACTGGGACAAGTAAAGGCAACAGATATTGTACGTTGGGACAAGAAAGATTTCCAAAGCGAGCAAGAGAAAAAGAGACTAGAAATGCAAGAAGAGAAATTTATCCGTGAGAAGCTTAGAATTTCAGAAGAGGAAGAAAAAATTGTCATAAAGACTCACAAAGGCGAGGAAGAGATTAATACAGAAGAGAAAGATGAGCTTGACCAAAATGAGAATGAAACTACTATCGTTACCAAATTCGCCCAATCTGTCCGCAAAGTCAAGGAGGACACTATTGACTCAGAAGAGAAGGCAAAGCCATCCATAAAAATCAGGGAAGAAGAAAGATCAGCATTTGATACTGACTCAGATGAGACTAACGACCAAAGCAAGGACTAAATTCCTCACCTAAACTATTCGAAATAATTTTTATTCATAATCCATACGTTTTCTTACAAATCTTTACTCGCTCAAGACCAATCTCTAAAACCAAAATAAACAACTAAGATCTCTATGTCTAAAATCTCTCCACCAAAATGGGGTTTTGGGGTTTTGGGGTTTTGGGGTTTTGGGG